TTTTTCTTTTCTTTGCACGTGCTACGAATTTTCTTAATACGTCGTTGTTACGAAATGAGTTTAGAAAAACTGTTTTCTCAATATTTTCGGCCTGCCTACAAAGCCGAATTTCCAACAATTAAAGAATCCTTCAAAGGAAATAACTATGCACTTTGCAACGTGTGCGTGTGTGACTTCATAATAAGTCACGGTGGAAGAAGCGATGTTAAGTCTAAAAAGCATAAGTTAATGCTTCGGCTTCGACAACGTCAAAGAAAGTGGATGATTTTTTTTCGAATTCGGATGCCGATGTCATTTTGGCAGAGTGTTTGTTTATTGCGTTCCTCATTGAACACAACGTGCCGCTAAGCGCTGCCGATCACGCCGGTCAACTTTTCAGACGGATGTTTCCCCACTCCAAGATTCCTCAGAAATATGCTTGTGCTCGCACGAAAACATCTATTGTGAACGAAATTGCTTGCGATGCACAAAGTAAAACTATAGCTGCACTCCAGAATTCAGCATTGTCGGTGTCAATCGATGGCAGCAACGACAGCGATTGGAAGCTTTACCCCATCATTGTCACATATTTCTGTGATGTATGAAAACTCATCTTTTGCATCTTCCATTGTTAAATGGAGATGCTACGGGAGAAAATATTGCCTCCTTGGTAATTAATGAGTTGAAACAACATTCCAATATCAAACTGCATTTCATTTGGTGCAAATAATGCTCAAGTCATGGTTGGTGACAAAAAGGGTGTAGCCTCTTTCCTCAAAAAAGAACAAAATGAATTAATTGTTATTGAATGCCCATGCCACTTAATTAATTTGGCAGCAGAAAAAGCTGCAGCTGCTTTACCATTAAATATTGACCAGCTTCTGATTGATGTGTTTTTCTATCTGGAAAAAAGTGTAAAAAGGAAAGAAAACCTAAAGAATCTCCAAGAACTGTGCTCTGGTCAACTTTGTTAAAGAAGTTGAAGGGAAGAAGAAACAGTCTTCTAATAGCTGGGAGAAAAGGATTTTCTATCTTCTTTCTTCGGATTTGAACAAAGCATATTGTAGTCTTGTGTTAAGTACCATTAAGATTTTTGAAAGTGTAAATAACCTTCTACAATCAGCTTCGCCAAAATCTCCCCTGCTTATCCAAATTCTTAGTGATCTTTTAAAAGAACTTTATACTAAGTTTGTAAAACCGTCCGTTGTGAAAAAGTGTGTTGATTCGTGTTGCCTATAATAGTTTGGCAAATCAAAAGGATGACAATGATCTTATAATTGGAAATCAAACCGGGGAACTTGTAAATTCTTTGAAAGATCATGAGAAAAAAAACTTTTTTCAATGTGTTAGAAAGTACTTTTCCTCAGCCCGTGATTACATTGTAAGGAAGTTTCCTTTGCAAAATGAAGTTCTTTTAAATGCTGAAGTGGCAAATTTGAAACAAATCGAAAATTCAGCGTTTGAAAAGATTCGTTTTCTTATTGATAAATTTCCATTTTTGTTAACAATTAAAGAAAATGAATGCCATAATGATGCTTTAGATGAACTACAGAACCAATTTTCTGCTGCACAGTTTGAAGACTTTGCCAGTTCTGGAGAAGATAGACTTGATACCCTCATTGGTACCTTAAAAAGAATAAAAAGAGCTGATGGAACACCAAAATATGATAGACTAGCAAGAGTTTTATGTGCTATTCTCGTAATTCCACACAGTAATGCTGAGTGCGAGAGAGTCTTCAGTGTTGTGAAGAAAAACAAAACTATGTTTCGTTCTTCAATTTCACCAAAAACTCTAGAAAACATTTTAATTGCTAAATGTTATGAGGAAACTAATTGTTATGACAGGAAAATTTTCCAAAGAATTTTGGCTAAAGCCAAAAAAAAATGCACTCTAAATTAATTGCAATAATTTTTTTTGTGTAACATTAAGTTCTTGTTTTATGTTTCCTAATAAAGTTTTAGTTACTACTTAATTGAGATTTACTAATGTAAGTACAATTTTCTTTTTTCTATTTGTATAAATTGTTATTTTTTTAATATCAAAGCATGATATTAATTCTTCATATTCTTCTGAATTTTGGAGAAATCTTCTGAATTTGGGGGAGAAATCTTCTGAATTTTTATCATTAGAGGTTGGCAGGTATGGGATAAGTGCTGAAATAAAAATTTTAGCTACACACAGACGAATGAAACTCGAGCTCAGTACACAAAGAATAAATTGAACTAATATACTTGTATTCAGTCCTAGCGCATAGTCAGTAAACTCGCCATTCCTCCATGAACATAATATTGAATCCCAAACGACTTGTAATAATTTTTAATATTAATTTATATCATAAACTGTTATAATAATAAAGAAATTCTGTTATGTCACAGAATAGAAAAGGAGAAAACTGGTGCTGCCATCTATTGGCGTGTTACCCTCAGTGTGGACACCGGTATATATTATATACCGGTTTTAAAATCATATAAATAATCTTCTGTTAATTATCATTTCTGACAAAAATGAAGTAAATATATAAGATTCAGCATGTGTACGTAATATATTTGCAGATTTTGAATTTTTTCTTTCCCTCCAATAGAATTTATGAATCTTCCAACATGATACCTTGCAAAGAGGTATATTAATTTTATAACTGCAAAATATTGAGCATTCATAGGGTGATGCTACCATTTAGAATCGAAAGAAAACACTAGACACTTACGATTGTAGCTTTTGGTGTAGAAAAGTTAGCATTTTTTTCGGAGGTTAAAAAATTGACAAACAACCGGTATATAATACAACCGGTATATATTATATACCGGTGGCTCTTCAAAGGGTTAATGTGTAATTATTGTAATATCGTTTAAGAATCAGTGTCATAAATTACAAACCGAGAAATTTTATTAGCTTTTGATTTTAATAGGGCTTTTTTAACAAATATTGTTAAATAAAATTTAATAGTGGCCATGTAAATCCATAATGACTAAGGTTACCTATTTACCTAATTTAATTATTTATAACTAATTGCTTACCCTTTAAAATTATCTCTACATATTAAAGTGAATTATTGCCTTTCATTAATATTCACTGTGGTCACAAGATAAAACACAAAAATGTAGAAATTCAAGTAAAACTTATTCTTTGCATCTAGTGAGACTTAAAATAATACAAAATAACTTAGCACCTCTGGTGCTTGAAGGGCTTATTGGAACCTGAAAATATATTAACTGGGTTACAACCCCTGGAATTCTGCAGAAAGCTATGACACTAACTGCATCAAACAGAGCCTGATTAACTTTCAACACTTGCTAACCGTGCCTACATCAGGCCTTTCAAGTTTGTTCTAATTAGCAGGTCTCTCTCTAGACAAGCAGCAGCGGTGATAACATTCCGTCTTTTGTTATGAATCATGCTGATTATGATCTTATTTCTCATTTTAACCTATGCCGTTTGACATAAAAACTACCTGCTATTTACTAAACCTCTAAACCAGTAGTTCTCAACCAGCAGACTAACGTGTACCACCTAAACAAAAATTGAAAACCTTTAGTACCACCACCACCAATCTTGAACAAATCTCAGATTGCATAAATTTACGAGTGTTAGAGAAAAAACTCAAACAGGATGTTGGAATTTTAATTTGAGGGTACCACCTATTTTTTCTTACGTACCACCAGTGGAGAACTTCTGCTGTAGACTGATCAAGTATGTGACAAAATGAGACAAAAAAATCTACATAAAGCTAACTACAGTACAAAGTCCGTAATCCAGACTCGTCGGGACTTCGGCGATTCCGGATTAGGGGTTTCTACGGATTATAGATCATCAATTTAAATCTGGTAAGATGGCATGCAGAAATTATACAGTTAAAAATATGAAACCGTAATTTATGAAATAAAGAGCAATTATGATCTAAAGGATATCAAATTTTACAAAAAAAAGCTTAATATTTATTTTTTTTCTTTATTAAACATTTCTTTCAATGCGTGCATGCATAAAGTTTGTGGCTTTGAGATCCGGATTATAGATCATTCCAGATAATGTGCGTCCAGATTACGGACTTTGTACTGTATTAGTAAAACATAAATGTCGCTTATCTTCTTTCAAATATGTCCAATCAATTACAAGTGTAAAATATTTAATGCTACTTGATAAACTGCATGAAGTTTATTTTATTCTCAAACTTATTAATAATTATGTTAATTAATTCATGTTTAGTAATAATGCATACTACTTAGGGATCTATTTTATTTTTAGGATGGTATTACAAAAGTGAAATTCAGGCATAGAATGATATTTTAATTGAATTTATACAGTTCCCATTTGCTGAAAGGTCCTCAATTTTTTTCATTAATGGTCCTTAAAAAGTACTTAATTTCCGTGTGCAGAAATGTGTACGAACCCTGTAAAAGTTAAATAAAATGTCACTAATCTTCTTTGAAATATGTAGTACTATTATAAGTGTAAAATATAAATGTTTCAAAATATTTTGTGACTTAAAGCTAATTACTTGATAAATATTATGAACTTTATTATATTCTCAAATTTGTAATTATATTGAATAGTAGATTATGTTTAATAATAATGCATCTTACAGGCCTGTTTTATTCTTAGAATGGTGCTGTAATTTAATAATTTCCTATTTTCTGACAAGTCCTTAATGTTTTTCAATGATCGTCTTTAAAAATACTTAATTTCTATGTCCAGAAATGTATATAAACCTTGCAATAGAAAATAATGATATAGCCTTCTGCAAAGAATCACTTTGTGGCAGAAAAGAGGAAAAAAAAAACGGTTGATTAAGTACAGATAATTCCCATTAATTCATAAGGATTTTAGACTTGTTTAGAAGGTTTTTCATTTTCATAAAATATATTTTAGTATATGATGATATGCCTTTAGAATGTGTTAGGATTGTATTAGAAGAGTTCTTGTAAGTTTTGTTTAGCTCTTATTCTAACATAAGTTTATAAAGTTGATATTTTATCACCTGGAGTTTTCTTTCTATAAACAATGCAAATTTTTAATTTTTTTGAAGCAAGCTGCCATCATTACTAGTTCTATTATCCCAACTGATAAAGATATTTTCCAATTGGACTCTGAAAAGGAAGCTGAGCTTTCGGTAAGAATTTTTTTAAATATTTTATTTAAAATAGTTGTATGGAAAACTTAATCATCTTTGTGTTTTAATTTTTTAATACTATTTTTTTTTTAAACAATGAAATTCAGAAAGTCAAAGTTGAAGGTGATACTGAAGCAAGAATGGACATACCTGAGGCTGGTATGGTGATTTTTTAACATTCATCTTAATATTACTTTATTGTATACTTTTAAAAAATGAAGTTTATAAGTAATCAGTGTTTCTCTTACATAATTGAATGTTTTAATTGGTCATGAATTAAAAAAATATAAGAACCAAAATCAATTTTAAAAATATGTTATAAATAATTAGGTTGTTTAGTTAAATCTTAACATACCACTGAACTTCGCAGATTTGGTAATAAATAAATGTTTCATAATTTTAAAATGCTGGTTCTATTTTTAATTTTTCTCAGTGTATCTGTCCACTAGAATATTTAGCCAGCTAGGCAGCATTTGTTCATTCTCCAGATATTGCAGTAGGAGCTGCTTATCGCATATATTTCTGCTAGGCAGGAATGGACGTCAAAAGGGACATTTCTAAGAACCCGCACATTTCCGTGAAACCTACGTAGTTAAGTTACCATTTTATATTACTACAAAGACTTGAACGCCAAATAGTAATCGATGATCGCGTGATCCTTCAGAAGCAGAACTTTTGTCTGATTGGTTGATCTCTACCGAACACAAAGCTGGTTTCAAAAAATCCCACGTAGTTGGTACATTGTTTCCAGCAGAGCTGTTTTTTCTACGAATCCTACTGTTTAAACCAGTGCTACCAGAATCTCGTTTCTCAGAAAAGCTCCATCTATCAAGAACTGTCGCTAGATGAATGTATGTACCTTTGTTGTGTATACATTTATTGTCTTTTTCCCAGTCAGATATAAACTTTGACATTCCTTTCATAATAATTATGCCACTTATTTTACATGTAGAAATATTAAAACCAAGCTTTTCACATCTTTTTAAAGTGGGCCCACCAGCGGCCGAGCGGTAAAATCGCTGAACACTGGTAGTTCAGTCTGAGATTCGAATCCCACAAATGGGCTCGCTGCATGGGCGTTTTCATGGTTTTCTCCATGTGTAATGTGTATACGAGCCAGTTTTCCTTAAAAAGTCCTCCACAAAGGCATCCCTTCTTTTAGGCAGATAGCCCTAGTGAGCTTTGCCGTATTCTCAATACACCACCACATCTTTTTAATAATTGAATAAGAGTATTTCTCTTTAGACAGTGTAAAAATATGACCTTTGATCCCCCCTTTTTTTTTAATTTTTCAACAACGTTTTAAAAAAAGGATATTTTTAATGCTGCAGGTGATAATTAAACCTTATTTCAATGTGATGCCAGTCATGTTTGAATTCTAAAATTGTTTGAATAGGCAAAGAAATATATATATATATATATATATATTCGTGAGGAAATATGAAACTAGAAAATTTTAAATCAGTGTTAGTTTAAATGTCTATAATTTTGAAGCAAAGTACTCATTCAAAAAATAATCTTTTTGTAGAAATTAAAGGCATTCCAGGATTTTGGCTTACAGCACTTAAGAATGCGCCTCTTGTTGCAGATTTCATCGAGGTGAATATAAATTTCTTTTTATTATGAAAATTATTTTATATATGATTATTAACATTTTGGAAGAGTATTGTTCTCATGTAGCAGTGTTTGCCAGCTACCTGTATAGAGATTTAATGTTGTTGTTAGTGCTTAGTATCATTTATTTAACCTTCTGTATTATAAAAATGTATTGTTTAGCATAGAAAAATACATTTATAAAGTAATTTTATCTGTGCTTTTTAACATTTTGCTTTAAAAGCTATTTTGTAGTATTGTAATATGTGGTACTACCACTACAAAAATTGGCATTCACAGTGTAAAATCTAATGATGATGAAATTTTGTAGAAATATATATATAATGTTGTGTTCTCTGGATTCTTGAATATTTCAAAATGTTATTAATATTTAAAGTTTTGTAACTGTTCTATTTTGCATCAAAAAGGAATATAGAAGAAAAATTGAATTTTTTAAAAAAAATTCTTTTGTTTAAAACATTTAGCTATGTCATGTGGCAGTTAGCAGTACCTTATTTTCATTGTTTTGTAAAGTCTCGTCTGAGGTATTACCTGATTTTTTTCAGAATACAGCCTTTCCACTGGGAACTAAGAAAAAAAAAAAAAAAGTTAATGGAAAATTAAAATTGATTTGTAGATTCAGAGAATAGTTTTCATTATTCACATGATATTTTTTTCATTTTTAGGAATATGATGAACCCATTTTAAAACATTTAAAAGATATAAAAGCAGTAACTTTGTCTAATCCTATGGTAAGTTTTTTTTTTTTTTTTTTTTTTTTTTTTTTTTTTTTTTTTTTTTTTTTGTGTGTGTGTGTGTGTGTGTGTGTGTATAATGTTATTTTGGTAGTCATCATCGAGCTCAGCTCATATTCCAGTTACTACCCTGGAGTGGATGTAAACATACACAGTTTGCAATTTATCGGTACATCACTAATTAAAAATGTAGGCTGCCTTCAAATAATCAAGTTTAAAACTTTTTCAGAATTTAATGCAAAAAAAAAATTTCTTGTAATAAAATAGTAGAATTTACCACACATAACTTGCTAAAAATCAGAGTTTTACTATTCGTAAAATTTGTCTGATACTTTGTGTTTGGTGTATTTGATTTCTCTAAATGTTTAACTAAGTCATAAAGTTAAATTGTTTGCTAATATATCTGTCATTAAATTGGATTGGGTGATTCCAGATTATCTACACTTCCACTGAAAAGGTACGAGAAAATATTCAGGAGGCAATGCAAAATGTCAAAAAGTATTTCTGTAATAAGCTGGGTAGTCATGTAGCACACATGTATTTGAGCTTATGTGGACTTGCAGTTTTGTAATTCAGTTCTCATCTGTATGAATAATATTTCTTTTTGCATTAAATTTCATCTGTTCTCGGAGGGTTGTGATCGTGTCTGGTGTTCTATGTGGAGTTTGCATAATACTCCAAATTTTTTTTTTTTTTTTTTTTAACCAAAAGAGGTCATGGGGAGAAAAGTGCAGAAAAAGAAGTGGTACGTGTGTCTTTTGTGGGGCTAGGTAACAGGTGATGCATCATCGAAATAGATGTAAAAAAGGTATTCAGACTTTTTTCTCCAAAGTTGTAATGAAGTTTGATAACTAAGTCAGCAGCAAGTTTTTATTATTTTAGTGGGGGGTGTGGATAATTAGAAAGTACCCCCAGATTCATGAAGTATGGATCGTGCATAGTCTTGTGCAATATTAAAAAATTAATGCCCAATATTATTATTTATTATGTTAATTTTTATGTTAAAATTATTTTATCTTTAGATCTGTAAAAATTTTAAGCTTTTTGCACATAAATAAGAGCATATTCAGTTACAGTAGCATTTAATTTTAATGTTTTTTGAATGTATTAAAATTGTTTTTTGTGATAACTGAGATTATACTAAAATGGTCTTTTATTCCCTCTTTAGAGTTTTTACCTGGAATTTCAATTTGAACCAAATGACTATTTTACCAACACAGTATTAACTAAATCTTATGCATTAAAATGTGTTCCTGATTCAAAAAATATATTTTCCTTTAAAGGGCCTGAAATTGTTACTTGCAAAGGGTAAGATCACTACTATTCTATCTAAAGTTTTGAGTCTTTCATTACAAATAAATTTTAATGAAATATTTCATAATGTTGAAAAATATCAAGATGAAAGGCATGTAGATTTTAAGAAAAGGCCATTTTTTTCCGATTTTTAAATTGTAAAGTTAGAAAAAATGTTTTTGCATAAATCTTTATGTAATCACCCATTATAAAGTCACTTCTGGTCTCCAATGGGCCTGATGGAATTTTTCTTTCAATGCATTATAATGATCTTGAATGTTTAGTAACATAAAATAGTTTCCTCCTTATCAGCAAGCACACTGAAATACACATTGTGGGCAGCGTCTTTCTGAACAAAAAGCAGTAATAGTTGGGAACAAAAAAGCTTTGTCCTGGTGTAACATGAAATTCTCAGGGCACTAAAAAGAGCTTGAAGATTTTATGTATTAGATTATTTGGAGTTTGATTTTGGTTTTTCATGAAACTTTTTTCCTTGTATAATTTTTTTTAAGTATATAGTTACCATTTCGGTTTAATATCATTTTATCAGTATTTTCAATAGCTTTATCTATTTTATCCCTAGCCATTGGATTGGCTGCGTGTTTGGTTTCTCATGTTTTTTTCCCCCTTTGAGATATGAGTCAGTTTCTATTAAAAATTCTTCCATTAAGGCATCCTTCCCACTAAGCAGATAGCTCTCATGTGCTTTGCCATATTCAAATAACTGACCCAACCTTTTTGTCATCTTTCTTGCAGTAACATGATTCTTTGCTGATAAAAGTTCTGATCTTTGCTTCCGAAAAATTGATCGAAGTGGTTTTTGACATCCTTATTGGAAGCAAATATTTTACCATTTAAAAATTTTTATGAAGACACGCGTAATCTGAGAGTACCAGATCAAATTAATACATTAGTTGTGGTAGCACATCCTGTCTAAACTGTGACAGCTTCTGATGAGTTACCTAGCTTGTGTGATATCTGGCGTTATGTTGAAACACTACACCTTTTTCTGTTGATTTCTGTTTGATGAATATCCTCAGCTTTGATGGCAGTACACTTTTGAATTATGTGTGCAGAATTGTCTGCTGGAAGCTTAACCCCTCTCCCCAAAAAACTAAGTCTCTCAAACAGACAACACTCTCTCTCACACACATATATTCAAATGCACTTCGAAAATTAAAACTTATTATGTGTATTGAGGAGTTTTAATTTTTGAAGTGTTTTGGAACCAGCTGATCTCTTCTACTGTGTCATCACTTGCATTCAACTGTTGCAAACAAACTATTTCTTATAACCAATTATGATTCTCTTCAAAAGCAAATCACTTTTTTTATATTTGAGGAGAAAATTGCTAATGTAAACGTAATGGAGCGAATCTCTTAAGAATTTTGAAAACCCATTGTAGAGTTCCTCCCTTGTATTCTATTAAACTAAGTGTTGATGAATCTAGTGAACAGCTTAGCTAATAATCTCTGAAGTCCAAGAACAGAAACGTAAACTACCCTTTATTTGCTTCAAATAAAGATATACAGTGGGCCCCTTTCTCAGGACGTACAGCAAACACCTCCACTTGGGCTTAAACTCAAAATGTAAGAAATAAGAGCTAAGTAATGACTAACTAAAGAGATTTATCCGCAGTTAACACAATTCTAAACTAGTTGGCACATAATATTAAATTAGCAAACAAAGCTATCAAAAAGCACGTAATACGGCTGAGCATAATAACAGTTTGAGAGACATAGGCAAATGCTATTCAGGAATCCTAGTTCTCTCTCTCAGTTTAGGTAGTTTACGTATTTAAGTTCAAGTCATTGGAACTTTGACTCAGGCATGAAAGTTTTCCGCGTTTTCGCAGAATTCCGCTTTTTCGAATGTCACCCAGGCTGTTTCTGAGATCGATGCAGAACCGTTGAGAAATCGCGACCGGCAAATTTGGGGGAGGGGTAAACGGAGGACATGCTCTCTCTCTTCCTCTTTTCTTTGTAAAAAAACTTTACGTCATGCCAGAGATCGCAAAATGCGTTGTTTCACATCAAGGCGAAGTAGGTGGGGCTTATGTGGAAAGGCGGAACTAGATGCATACGAATGTGGAATCAAAGAAGAGGAAGCAAAGGAGAGCTGACTTCAATAATTTCAGTGATCGGTGCTGGCACCATCTGTCGGACATACAGATACCTTACTGATGTTATCCAGAGCACGTGCAAATTTTAGTGTGTGTAAAGTGGCATACGGTAATTCGGAGCATAGATTGTTATGTTATTTCTTTTTTGTTTGTTGCTGTAAGTTTTTCAGTACGAATATCTTAAATCCAAATCATGAGCACAAAGGAGTGAGAATCTAAAAAAAAAAAAAAAGCAATTAAACATTGCAGAAAATAAAAAAATATCAATGGATTGTATAAAAGCTGCTGAAAAGGAATTGAGACTAGCTAGCAAGAATTAGGAAATTAAAAAAGTTGGCTGCAAAAGTAGCAAAAAAAGCAAAAGCTTTTTTCCTAAAAATTTTTAATCAGGATCGAGTGAGACTGAGACAAAATAGTTATTTTTTATATTCCTCCTTTAACTATGCATTATTTTGTAACTATATTATCTCACATGACTACTTTTTCTGGTGTTCTACACTGACTACCAATAAGTATTTGGACACCTATGCAAATGACGATATCTGCGGTCCTAAGGTAGGTCACGGACTCCGCCGGTATATATCGTGTAGGAAACAGCATCGGCTTTAGTCGCATGCAAGATGCCTCGCAGTTCGGAGCTCCCTGATTTTGAGAAAGGTATAATTATCGGGTATCACAAATGTGGCCGATCCTTAAGGGACATATCTAGCGATCTGAAGTACCCAAAATCGACAGTGGCCTATGTGATTAAGAAGTGGAAGGTGAGTGGTAATTGTTGGAATGTGCCCTGAGTCGGCAGATCAACGAAATTGGGAGATAGAGACCGAGGAGTGCTGTCCAGAGAAATTCGGAAGAACCGCACCCAACTGATGGCCCTCATCCGCGAGGAGTTTCAACAGGCATCCGGGAGTATTGTTTCAATGAATACCATCCATAAGGAAGCACATCTGCTTGATTTTTATGGTCGTGCTGCTGCCATAAGCCTTTGATCACTAAGTCCATCCGCGCTGCTCGGTTAATGTGGTGCAAAGCACATCGAAATTGGACCGTAGATCAGTGGAAATGGGTTTTTTGGAGTGACGAATCAAGGTTCACCCTTTACCGTTCGGATGGCAGGGTCTGGGTCTGGCGTCTACCTGGAGAACGTCTCCTGCCAGAATGCATTGTGCCAACAGTCAAGTTCGGCGGAGGTGGAATTATGGTCTGGGGGTGTTTCTCCTGGTATGGGCTGGGACCCTTGGTAAGCTCAACTCCGATGCCTACTGCACTATTTTCTATGACAATGTGCTTCCTACGTTGTGGCAGTTTTACGTGTTGGACCCCTGTTACTTTCAGGACGACAATGCCAGTTGTCATGTTTCGACGTTAACCAAGGCTTGGTATGGTGCCAATGGAGTTCATCGAATGGACTGGCCTGCCCAGAGTCCAGACCTGAACCCTATCGAGAACCTCTGGGACGAGTTGCATAGCCGAATTCAGGGGTGCACTACCCGTGCAAAATCGGGGAAGGAACTTGTATGTCTTCTCCAAGCCGAGTGGAAGAATACCACTAGCTGTCATACAAAGACTTGTGGAAAGTATGCCCCGGAGGGTCCACGCTGTAATTACCTCTCGTGGAGGCTCTACCAACTATTGATTTTGAATAAAGTTAGTTTTTCTTTTCTATCACAGGTGTCCAAATACTTATTGGTAGTCAGTGTATAAAGTACTGTTTATTGAACTAAAAGCGAAGATAATTGAAAGCTATAGTAACAGTTATATATATATATTATCTCTAAAACTTGTCATTGCCTGAAAATCAGCAGTAATATATAACATAAATATGTATATATTAGTGTGTTGTAATGTTGTGTATAGTATTCATGTATCAACTGTTAAATTAAGTTACATAAAGAGCATCTTAAAGAAGGTTAATTCAAATTTCCTGATGATTTACTGATTTTTTTTTTTTTTTTACAAGTGGAAGATAAAATTAATAGCAAAATAGTAAGTACAAGTATTATTTTAGTTTAATTATATGTATATGTTTAATACTTTTTATATTAAAAGTTTTTTTTTTTTTTTTTTTTGAGGTCGCGCATGCACATTTAGTGTTTGTGTAATTTTGTGTCTGAACGTTGTTCAGTGTTTTTTGCCAACTTGCACTTTCATGCCTGTGGACTTATTTACTTTCTACTTCTCATTTGCATTTAACACAGTTCTAAAAACTAGATCTGGTAAGAAATTGTAACTGAAACTAGAAGAGAGGACAGTGTCATTAACTTAAAATAGCTTATAGAATTAAATATACCTTACACCATATGTTGCACTTTGAAATGAACCCAAATCGTTTTACATTATCATAGTTGATTTTGAGAAATTTAATCAATGAGCAATTTTTCACGTTCAGTGATTTGCTTCAATCAATATATTTTATTTTGTATTCATCAACGTCATCCAGCCTTTTAGAATATAGTGAATTTTCAATATGAAAGTGTAATCTTTCCACACATTTTTAGAAAAGTGTGCAAATTTGTTTTTATTTACTTATACTATTTAAAAATTTTTAATAACATTTTAGATGCAAAATACACTGGAAAAAATTCAAGAACGTGACCGCGGAAACAAAAAAGAAAAAGGCAAGAAAGGCTTTTAGAACTATCACAAAATATGATGAAACGGCTTCTTTTTTCAACTTCTTTAATCCCCCTCCAGGTAAATTTTAAAAAATCAATTTTCAATTGTCTAATTAATTTAGTCTTATTTTCTGTGTTTAGTAATTGTTTCGGATGGAAATGTGGTCCGCTTTTTACTTACCTGTTAATTATTTCGCTTTAGATTGTAACGTTGCGCGCCTCCAACTTGCACGTAACCAAGGGGTGACTGTGAAAACTGGATAAAACACAGAGTCTTGTAAAGGGTTTAAGTCCCTTTTTATTCAACGTAATAAATTACAATTGCGTGCTGTTGACGCTCACAGACTGCGCCAACTCGGCGGTCAAATAAAAATAATAACCTGAAAAGAACTTAAAGACAAGACTCTAACTACGAGGCTCTCTAAAATAACTAACTAACTCACCGCGTTTTACAATACCGCTGCTAATTCAGCAGACTTGAAGCTCACTTGAACGATTAACACTACTTCCCGCCAAGCACATAGGCCGAAACGCGGGGTTCTTCAATTTCTCGCTAACTACCTCCGCGCTCGTGAAGTAAGAATATCACACACCCGAACTTGTTTCCTTCCTATTTAAATCATAATACTTCCGCTGATAATTTGAATCCTTGCGCGTTCTACTAAATTTACATATTCTGGCATTGGCAGTTCCAGGGGAAAGTAAGGCTTGACAGGAAAGATAGTTTAAACTTAAAATAAATGTTAGTTAAAATAAATATAAACCCTACATTTGCCGCTGCCAGAATTTGGAAAACTTGGAAGCAGGTCCTACAAACGACCTGTTGTAAGTTTATCTAATTCTGAACTAACTGGCGAGAACCTCGTTTACACAAAAAAAAAATCTTATGTAACAAATTGTATACTAAAATTCTGTTGATCGTTATAAAAGCTCTCTTCTTACAGCAACTTTTCCTGGACTTCATCAATCAATCTTGGTCTTTCCTTCCAGCATCTGGAAGGAATAAGTATCAGTATCTTTCTAAATACATTATAATTTACACTTTCTTGACACAATAAATTTTTGTTTTTAAACGATTCGTTTTTCTTAGTTATTGCTTACTTACTTCACATTCATTCAATTTTTCAAGCATTAATTTAACTTTACCCTGGCTCTCCACCGTGTGTGGTGTCAAACGGGAATATTCGTGTTTTAGTCTTACAACACTTCCCCTAACCACCATGATTTGTTAGAATTCAACGACCAAATAGACACACCTTACTCGACATTCTACAACTCAATGAGCTACTTTAATATTCTTAAAAATTCAAATGTAGGTGGAGAACCCTACAAAACACATTCATTCTAACTTCCCCCTCATTCATCTTTAAACATGCAGGCTTTCGCTCTAAAGCATGACTTTATCTACAATTTACTACTTAAATTTTGACTTCATTGCTTTTTAAGCATTCACTTTTAGCATCTACAATTTTATGCTTCTAGACTAAATTCTACTTTTACATAACCTTCAAGTATTTACATACATTTACAAAATTTTAATACATATGATTTTTACAATTTACCATAAAATGAATAAGAGAAAATAATTTTTTACTTTACTCATTCTTCGCCAAGCTGGCGGCACTGAAACTAAAATTCTTATTAGTACAAGAATACGAAGTTATTTTTATCTTCGGCCAAATTTTGGCTTTAACATAACAGAATTAGTCTTCCGACCAACAGAAAATGCTTGTTTTTAGCTTTTACACTTAAAGAAAATAATACTTTTGCCTTAGCTAAATAAAGTAAAACAAAACTAAGTCTCAACCGAGACATATTGACTTTCGTCAAAACATAGAACTTCGTACTTATGCATAACATTTCGGAACAAAAGAGAAAAAAAATTTATAGAAGGTTTTAACTTATCTTTGAGTTTTCGATGCTTGAAACTCCGTCATTCGTTTTTGGCAATATTGTTCCCAAGTTAGAGGTTTCATGGATGTCAATCTTCTCCTTACTGATCTCCGAGTGTCGTCCACATTACTTTTTCTTTTGCGTCCTCTACATGCTGGCCTCTTGGCGGAGTAATCGTCTGGTTGTTGGCATTTCCGTTTTTCCCTGGGACGGCTGGTCTTGACGTCCTCCGGTCTGGAGTCCTTCTTGAATTTCTTCTGTTCCTCGTATTTTTGTGCCTCCTGTTGCCGTTTCAGTTTCCGGAACGGCGGCCTTGCTGGCACCTGACTCTGTGGCCGTGTGCGCGTTCTCCTTGATGTATAATTTTCTCCTGCCATCCTTTGTAGGTGGTGTTTTCCTCTTTTACCACGGTTTCTTTACCCGGTGCATCTGTATTTTGTTTTTTTCTTAAACGCTGGAGTTTGAAAGTTATTTTTTCTTTTTGATACCGACGTCCGGGTTGTAGAAGTGCTAGGTCTCTCTTCAGTTCTCTGTTTCTTGGGTGGTGGAATAGTTGTTATTGTCTCTGGACCTTCTACTTCGTTTAGACTTGAGTCCTGCAAGAAACTTTTAAGGATTTCAAAATCATTTGGATTATAGTATTTTTTCACCTGGTCGGGACTTGCTTTACAGATTTCCCCTCTCTCGTTCTTAAGATATAATACTACTCCTTTGATTTCCTGAATTACATAGGGGCCTTCAAACTTTGGAGCTAGCTTTGCCGTAAAATTGTCTGGGGCACTTGATAAAGAAAATTTCCGCTTCAATACTTTATCCCCAACTTTAAAATCTGCTTCACGGCGTTTTCTATCATAATATATTTTTCTGCCTATTTCTTGCCGTATCCGAGCTTTTAAGCGCCTGATCAATCAGCTTTTGCACATCTTTTGTTTAAACTCCTGCTCTCTTTGTTGCACAAAGAATAATTTATCTAAAGGCGTAATTAACTTTCTGCCTAAAAATAATTCTGCTGGAGTTTTTCCCGTAGTATCATGATTTGCCGTTCTTAAAGCATAAGCTAATTCATTTATGTAGCCATCCCAGCGCTTGTGATGTGTGCTCACGTAACTGCGAATTATTTTTACTATGTTTTTATTAACTCTTTCTGCTATGTTAGCCTGTGGTCTATACGGAACCATTTTGATATGGCGTATGCCAAGTCCATTGCATATGTTTTCAAATATTTGACTAATGAATTGTTTTCCGTTATCGCTAATGACTTTTATCGGTGCACCGTATTTTAAAATGTATCTGTGTAAGAATGCATCTGCGACTGTTTTGGCTGACGCGCGTTTAAGTGGAACAATTTCTGTCCATTTTGAAAAATGATCTACTATTACTAAAAGAAAACGATTTTTATTTAACTCGCTCTGGGGGAAGGGACCAAGGAAGATCTATGCCTAAAATTTCATTCGGAAATGTAGCGCGAATGCTATTTAAGTACCCGGCCGGGCTGTAATTAATATCATTTATTAACTGACATTGATTGCAGGACCTGACATACGCCGTTACTATTTTGTATAATTGCGGGAAATATACCGCCTCGCGTACCCTTTTTAAAGTCTTTCTGACCCCGAGGTGGCCCGCTGTTTTTTTTCGTGCAACTCCTTCAAAATGCTTAATCGAAGCGAGGCTGGGATGACTGGCTTATACTCAAGATTTTCGTTTGTTGTTTTCGTATAGAATAATAAATTATCTATTATTTCATAGTTTTTTGCTCTATTTCTTATCGCATCGATATCTGTGTGCTCAAAGCTTTCGGGGTCTTTCAAATAAGCATAGATATTTCCAAATTCAGGATCAGCTTTCAGTTCAGTAATAACCGTATCTCTAGAATCTAAAATTTTTGAAGTCAACACAGCGCATTTAAGTTCATTTTCCTTCATCGTCCAGTTTTATACGAGAAAGTGCGTCAGCTACATTGTTTTCCTTACCCGGTTTATATTTTATTGTGATATTATATTCTTGGAGTTTTAAAGCCCATCTTATTAACCTGGGCGTTAGGTTTTTTTCCCCGAGTAAAGTCTACCAACAGCCGCATGATCCGAAAAGACTGTTACTGGCGATTTGCCGAAATAAACTCGAAATTTGTGTACAGCCATTAATACGGCTAATGTTTCTCTTTCTGTAGCTGTATAATTCCTTTGTGTCTGATTCAATGTTTTACTAAAAAATGCCAGAGGATGGTTATTTTGCATAAGAACCGCACCCACCGCATAGTCTGACGCATCTGCTGCAATTTCCAGGTTTTCGTCCCCCTCCGGGAATTTTTAAAACAGGGGCATTAATGAAGCGCTTCTTTTAATCTTTCAAATGCTGTGTTAGCTTCCGCTGTCCACGTAAATTTAGCCCTTTTTTCTTTTGATTACTAAGAGTGGTTCAACAATATTAGCGAAATCTTTTATGAAAGATCGATAGTAAGAACATAACCCAAGGAAAGAAGAAAGTTTCTTCTTGGCGGTGTTGGGCGGTGGGAAAATTCTTGATGGCTTTTATTTTTGAATCTTGCGTTTCTATACCCTTTTGCGAAATTTTATAACCGAGATATTTAAGTTCTTTAGTTGCGAACTTGCATTTTGAGGCGTTAATTGTAAGACCGGCCTCTTTTAATAATTTAAAAAACTTCTTCTTCGAGATCATTAATGTGTTGTTCCAACGTACTACTCGTTATAATTATATCATCTAGATAGATTAAAGTTGATTTTCCTAGGACAGGCTTTAGAACAATGTCCATAGCTCTCTGGAATGTTGATGGGGCCCCACACAACCCAAAAGGCATGCGTAAAAATGCATAAGTGCCCGATTTTGTTATAAACGCGGTTTTATGTATATCTTCGGGTCTCATAGCTATTTGATAGTAGCCAGACGTTAAGTCCAAAGTAGACATATATCTTGTCGATTTGATCTGTCTAATGATCTCGTCTATAACCGGCAAAGGGTAAACTGGAAATTTAGTAATACTATTTAGTTTTCTGTAATCGATAGCAAACCTCCAAGCCCTTTTATCCGAAGGAGGAAACTCGTTCTTTTTCCTACATAGTACGACTGGACTCGCGTACTCACTATTTATGGGCGTTATTATTTTATTCTTTAACATCTCCTGAATATGTTCTTCGATGATTACGTCTTTTTGTTTGTCATACCGATAAGGTTTAGTCCTACAAGGTTTTTCGGCATTTAATTGAATCTTGTGCGTTAACTATTTGACAGTTTCCTGGTTTTTTCTGAAAACAAATGAGAAAAATTACTCACCACTTGCTGTATTGCTTTCCCTTTCATGGTCATTCAGAATGGCTAAGGTCCACTTGAGGTGTCTCCACAGGTTCCACCACCCACCACCCTCTGGTCCATCTCCAACACCACGGAACTATCTTGAAAATTTAATTTGGCCCTCGCGGCCCTTAAAAACTCCATACCTAAAATAAGAGAATGTTGCAGATCTTTCACCACAAAAATTAATACTTTGAGACTTTTCCTCTTTTACCTGTAAGTTTAATGATATAATTTCCCGATGCAGTGACATGTTTTTCCTTGCGCCGCTATAATTTCCGTATTTTTGGTTTTAAATAATCGTACCCTATAAAAATTCTTTTTGAAGAAATTTTCACTCATAAATTTTCCTTCTGCTCCTGTATCGATGAGGGCTTCTACTGGTACATCGCCAACCAGGACTTGTATAATTGGTAGCTGTGAGTTTTTTACGATGACCGTATTTAAATGTCTATTTGAGGGTTTTTTTAAAACTTCCGGGGTCTGGACCCTCCCTTTCACAGGCCCCTCTACTCGTTTAAAGCTTTCCTTTCAATCTGTGCCTTCTGGGTACGCGGATGTTTATTTTCAAATTTTCTTTTTGGGCCTTGACCTTCGAGTTTCGATGAGTTAGCTTGATAGCTCTTTCCCCCCCCATAAGAGCGATTTCCATTTCTGGTTTCCTCATTTGAAGATTTCCTTCGGGTACTTTGAGAATACGTTGCCTCCCCTCTCGCTTTTTTCCGCTATTCTGCGATTTTGAAACTTCACCGCCAATTCGAAGAGTTCCTGCAATGTGCTTGGGTTTCTAATTTCAAAGTAGTCTTGAACAGCGGGTAACAATCTTGGTAATATTATTTCAATAATCTCCGCATCGGGTTTCTTCCCATACAGCATATCCGTTAGCTTGAATTTTTCGTAGAATAAAGTCCGTCAATTCTGCTATATCCCGTTTGATAGAAACTATATAGTTCGGCTTCCAGCCGTGCGCGATCTTTCACTATGGGGAAGGCCTTTACTAACGATTTTTTGAAATTTTCAAATGTATATGTCTGGCTTCCAAATTCCCCTAATAAAAATTTGCCTATATTTTTTCCACCATAGCGCGGCCTGTCCTCTTAGTGCTGATGTGGCGATGGCAACTTTTTGTCTTTCAGGAACACGGGTAGAGCTGAAAGTGGTTTTCTCTAGACCTTCTAGAAATATACCGCCACCGAATTTTTTTTTTCCGTCGAAATGGACGTTTGGCTTGATTGACGCTCTCGCTCTCAAAGTCTGGACCAGGTATCCAAATCCTTCTAACTGGCTTGTCATTTCTTGGTGTTGTCCAGCGGCTTCCATCCAGTTTTCGGCCATTTCAATTCGATACGTGTTCGGGCGCCAATGTAACGTTGCGCGCCTCCAACTTGCACGCAACCAAGGGGTGACTGTGAAAACTGGATAAAACACAGAGTCTTGTAAAGGGTTTAAGTCCCTTTTTATTCAACGTAATAAATTACAATTGCGTGCTCTTGACGCTCACAGACTGCGCCAACTCGGCGGTCAAATAAAAATAATAACCTGAAAAGAACTTAAAGACAAGACTTCTAACTACGAGGCTCTCTAAAATAACTAACTCACCTCACCGCGTTTTACAATACCGCTGCTGCTAATTCAGCAGACTTGAAGCTCACTTGAACGATTAACACTACTTCCCGCCAAGCACATAGGCCGAAACGCGGGGTTCTTCAATTTCTCGCTAACTACCTCCGCGCTCGTGAAGTAAGAATATCACACACCGAACTTGTTTCCTTCCTATTTAAATCATAATACTTCCGCTGATAATTTGAATCCTGTGCGTTCTACTAAATTTACATATTCTGGCATTGGCATTGGCAGTTCCAGGGGAAAGTAAGGCTTGACAGGAAAGATAGTTTAAACTTAAAATAAATGTTAGTTAAAATAAATATAAACCCTACAAGATTATGAAAAATACATAAAACCTATTCTTATTTATTATAACTTGTTTAATTTTTAAAGCACTATATGTATGGAGCATTTCGAACATCTATGCCTGGCAACTGCAGGCAGCCGACTCGTATTAAATTCTCCTAAATTTCAATTTATAAAATTATATATTAACGCATTCAAGATGACGGTTTTTTTCGAACACGGTCCCCAGGACTGAATTTTGTTTTTCCTTTGTATTGTTCATTTTTACACAGTAAAACTAGTGCCAAATTTTGTTTTCCTGTACTTTACAGATTTCATTAGTTCAAGAAAAATCTTATTTCAATGACTAGTTTGCTCAGAATAACTGATAATTGCACACACAGTGTGCAATCGGTCTTGAATATGTTAATGAATCATTTTATTTATTTCTATGGTGAATGAGTACTCACCTGTATTAAAGAAGCTGTTCAAAATGGTGTCTTTTGCTTGTAGGCATTCTTGGCACCTTTTTCATGTCTCAAGTGTAATAATTAATATCCCTGCAGCCTTTTGAAACATATTCCTGTAAGACACGGCGTAGAGATTTGTTTGAGTACACTGTAATGGTTCTTCAATTTTGGCAATTTTCTTTTCTGTTAACTCTTCCACCCCTTTACAAATTCTGTCATTGAATGACCCATTTTCCTTTAATCTAACAAGATTTCCGACCGTTTCTGTGAACAACTGTAATGACAAGGAATTTTTCTCTGAATTGTCTACACATTTCTATGCAAGAACCTGTTTTTATGCAAGTTCAGATACAAAGATTTTTGTTTAAGTGTTTGGTTCATTGGTTGGCACTGAGATGTAATGTTTTTAAAGGTGAAATGTTTTGTGTAATTCCTTTTTACTTTCAATGTTGGAATATTTTATGCTGTTAGACATGCATTTAATTTTTTATAGTTGTTATTTTACGTAATGTCCTTTTCAAAGTGATCTGTAGTGAGATATTTAATTTGTGAATGCCATGTTGGCGTATATGTTTTTATTTACTGATTTTTTCTCTAATTACAGTTCAAGAAAACGATGATCAAATGGTGAGTAAAATAAAAATAATCAAATACGTGAAAATATTTAGCCTTTTTTCTTTATATGTAAATTTTGCCTTGGGAATTCAAACATTTGTTAATGAAAATGTGTTTTGCATGATGAAGATTTTAACAGCTACCACGCAGTTCATTAAGCACTTACTTGTGTTTTCTCCGAAGAAAAATGCATGCCTTTTCCTCTCATTTGGAAAAGTTGGTGTCATTCAGATTGTAGATGAGCGATCATGAAAGCATCAAGTGTCCAGAGGTGTAGTTGCAAGATGCTTTTGTGATCGGTGAAGCTTTTCAAGGATTAATTGAAGTTCTCACACAACATTTATTATGATGACTGTTGCATCAGGTTCTTCTATTTACAATAAAAATTAATGTAAAATTCCTCACCTGCTGCATCTTCAGTGTTCGCAACGCCAGGCTTCTAATAATCACGTTTTCCAGTAAGAGTTTCTATTAGAACTAGCAGGCCATCTTGTCTTTTACTTATTTATTGAAATAAAACACTAATATTCAAGACTATATTTACAAGGTAGGTGATAATTATTTTAAGACAGTACATTTTAATTTTTTCTGAGTCTGAAGCTTCGTCTTTACGCACCTCAGAGCGGTTCCAATCTAGTCTCGTTCTCAGAACTCAACTACAGCAAAAGTAAAGGAAGAGATGCCCGCCATCTAGTGGCAAGAATGTGACAATGACAATACACTACACTATATACATATTCAAGAGTGGAGCTACAAGAATTTAGCCGTTCGACTCTTCAAGATACACGTCTGCTCACGATGAGTTACAAGACCTAAGCGCCACCTATAATATCTCACTTCATAGCATACTGGCGTGCAATTAACAACTGTTTGTCACAAGCTTCAAATTTAGAATTATTTTAATACAATATTCAATACTAACAAGATTTTCAACAAATATGACGAGAAGATAAATTTAAAGGTAAGTTAAAATATGAATTTCGAAATCTCCATAAGCTGAAAGAGAAAATTATTAAGATACTTACTATACTTGGACACAAAAAGTTGCTACAAATCTAAAATGAAACTAAAATACAATGAATTATATGTGAAAATAAGAATAAAATTTTTGGAGTCATTAATTTTCACGATGGCAAAATGGTAATGGTGAGAGTTTGTTGATAGGATGTTTAATTACACCATTGATAGTTTTTAAGTCCACTACTTGCACTTTTCCATCAGATCCTGGGTTACTGGGACATTAATTACTCTACCTAGATGCCACTTTAAAGGTGGTAAGTTATCTTTTACCAGTACCAAGTCATTGGTATTTAAGTTTGGTTTGTCCTTTTTCCATTTTGCTCGTCCTTGCAAATTGGAGAGATAATCGGATGACTACTGTTTCCAAAAGTGTTGGAAAAGTTGCTGAATCAGTTTCCAACGTTCTACATTCATTACCTTAGCATCAATCACATTTCGTTCAGGAATGGTTGTTAGCGCGGTTCCAATAAGGAAGTGACCAGGTGTTAAAGTGCTTAAGTCATTGGGATCATTGGAAATTGTCACTATAGGTCTGGAATTTAGGCAAGCTTCAATTTGAGTTATCAAGGTCAGATGTGAGCAGTTGAGCTCCTATTGCACGTTTTAAGTGATTTTTCATTTGCTTAATGCCTTTCTCCCAAAGATCCCTGAAATGTGGGGTGGAGGGAGCATTGAATTTCCAAGCAATGTTTTCTTGTGTTAACTGGTTTTGGAACTTTTCTGATGACAAAATGGATGCCATAATTCTTTTTAATTCACGATTTGCACTAACAAAGTTAATTCCTTGATCAGAAAACATTTCTTGTGGTTTGCTCCGATGGGCTACGAACCTTCTTAATGCTGCCAAAAATGCTTCTGAAGAGAGATCACTCACAACCTACAAGTGTACTGCTTTTATGGTAAAACATATGAACAGGCATACATAGCACTTTATTGGCTTCACTTCTCTCCCCTTGTAGGGTTTCACAAGGAATGGCCCTGCATAATCAAGGCCTACTTTAAAAAAACTCTTGCTTGGCATAACTCGAGATGCCAGAACATCGGCCATTATTTTGCAATGCAGTATTTGTATGATTTCTGAAGCATTTCGTGCAGTTTCGAATAACTGTGTACTGCCTCTCCAATATTTCTGTCAGATAGCCGAAATTATAAGTGAAGTCCCTCCCTGAAAATGAGTTTTATGAAAATGCTTAATTATTAATTCAGTCATGTGATGCTCCTTAGGAAGCATTGCCTGGTGCTTTTGATTTTCAGATATATTAGCATTCCTTAGTCTATTTCCAGAATATTTTCGTTATCCAAGAAGGGATTCAAGGAGATAATTCTGCTGTTAGAGCTGATTTTCCCCCTGCTCTTAATGCCGAGATTTCGGCTTTAAATTCACTTTCTTGGATTAAGTGCACAATAATATCTGAATTGCATTTGCTGTAGTATTTATGTTTCTAGATAAGGTTTTTCAAACCATTTTAAAAATTAAATTTTTTGGTTAATTTGGAAAATTAACCAAAAAAGTTAATTAGAAAATTTTGTTAATTAGAAAAATTAACCATTAATGCATTACAATGTACTTAAATTGTGTTGAAAAAGTTATATTAAAGTTGCATTTGTTTCTAGATAAGGTTTTTCAAACCATTTTAAAAATTAAATTTTTTGGTTAATTTGGAAAATTAACCAAAAAAGTTAATTATAAAATTTTGTTAATTAGAAAAATTAACCATTAATGCATTACAATGTACTTAAATTGTGTTGAAAAAGTTATATTAAAGTTGCATTATATTGAATGACTTTTCCTACATGTTTTCTTATTTAACTTTTTAAATATATGTGCTGGAACTTCTTATAAATTATTTAATGAGTTACTTGTATTTATTGCAATTGTAAATCATTTCAATACCTACTCTACTGTATTTTAGGATGATGAAACAATAAAGATATTGAATAATGATTTTGATCTTAGTATCGCAATAAAGGATCACCTGATTCCAAATGCACTCCTCTTTTTCACTGGTGGAAAAGTAGTGGATGATGAAGTAAGTACACAGCTTTTAATTCTGTAAATTAGGTTTAAGATATATTTAGTTACAGGATTAAATTTGAAAATCAATACAGTACATGTTCATGGTGTGGAAGAAAGTTGAAGAAAGTTTACTGTACTTAAATCATGTAGTATATTTATCTCTATACAAATATTAATAAAAATTACATTGCGTGTTGAAAGTTGTGTTGCTTAACCCTTAGCCTGTCGAGAGTTTTTCTGCAAATACCTTTACAGCTGTTGGTAATTTTTGACCCAACTTCCCGTAAATTGTCGGTGAACTAAGTCTAGTCGTTCGAAAAATGCCGGCTACCTCTTCTGTTATTTGACTTCCCTCCCAGAATTTTAGATCAGTTGTTCCGTGTTAAAAGAGATTGATTGCACTGTAAACATTAGGAGATGCGAGCTGTAAGAACTTTGCAAATGAATAGATTCTCAAAATCTAATCATTTGCAAAAAAACACCCTTGTATTTAGCATAGGTATAATGAAACACTCAATCGATTTCGAGGACAGCTAAAGATCCCTCCTCATCAGGAGAAAGAAATACATAGAAAGAAGAAAATAGGAAAAGGAGTCACAGAAACACGTGGTCCTTATCAGCACTGCACGTGGTTATAACTAGATTTTTAATCAGAGTTGCACTGGCCGCCTACTTTTACTGAGCCAGGCTATCTGATCAAGCATAAAGAAATATTAGCGAAATTAAAATAGGGAGCGAGGGGCAAATGCACCTTACGCTCAAAATCTGAACTTCAAATAATGGAAAGCAACCACTGAACGGATTTTTATACCCTCTGGTAGTACCAAACATGAGGAGGTAACGTCATCTATCGGCAAAAATAACTGAATTAAGATAGTAGAATTTTAAAGGCATTAGGAAGGACTGGATTGGACTTCAAATCATTAACTAAACTTGCTAAATCTTTGTGAATGTGAAAAGCCTCAAGAAAATCCAATTCATCTATGGAAGAAGCCTTTTGGATGATTTTTGCAGATCCAAAATCAAAATTATGGTTAAATGTCCAACTATGATACGCTATTGAAGACTTATTAATTTCGCCTTTTTTGACATAAGATTCATGTTCCTTGATACGAAACTTCAACGCTCTTTTTGTTTGACCAATATATCTTAAACCACACTGACACGATATACTATAAATTCCCCAAGAATTCAAGACAGAAACGCAATCTTTTAGAATCAAAGGGTGAATTTTATTAATAGGGGACAGACCGACTTGAAAATTGAATTTCTGGAGAATCTGTGCAATTTTATAGCTAACAGAAGGATAAAATGGAAGCACGACAAGGTCATTAATATTATTTCTAACAGTGGAATGTCTTCTTTGATGGGAATCTGAAAATTTTTTAACGGCTTTATCAATAATCACGGGAGAAAATCCACGGTCAATCTCAAATAATTAAGTTCATTGGTATGCAAAGATTCAGAGGAATAAACTTTAAGCGTGCGGAAAACATAATAGTAAATAGAAGCCATTTTTTTGCTTAACAGGGTGGCATGACTTGGCATGGGGTGGTAAACAAACTGCAAAGGGTTTACGGTACACAGTGGTGCTAAAATCGGTTTCATTGCGGATTATAAGAATATCAAGGAAGGGGAGGGAATAGTTGGATTCAATTTCAAGAGTTAATTGGATGGCTGGATCAATTGAATTCGTAATAGATAGAATCTCGGATAAATCCTCTTTATAACTGTCAAAAAGTGCGAAAGTGTCGTCAACATACCGAATCCAAAGACGAAAAGATAATTTATCAAATAATTTTATCTCAAAATAGTGCATATAAATGTCAGCAAGTACCGGACTGAGAGGATTACCCATAGCCAATCCTTCAACTTGACGAAAATATGCATTTTGGAAAACAAAGTGGGTTTGACTTAAAGAAACTTTAGTAAGCGAAACCAACTCATTAATTTCAGTATGTGTGAAGTGAAATTCCCAAAGCCTAGTTTCAAGACAATTTAGTGCTCCTTCGACCGGAACATTAGTAAACAGTGATTTGACATCCCCTATTAATAAAATTCACCCTTCGATTCTAAAAGATTGCGTTTCTGTCTTGAATTCTTGGGGAATTTATAGTATATCGTGTCAGTGTGGTTTAAGATATATTGGCCAAACAAAAAGAGCGTTGAAGTTTCGTATCAAGGAACATGAATCTTATGTCAAAAAAGGCGAAATTAACAAGTCTTCAATAGCGTATCATAGTTGGACTTTAACCATAATTTTGATTTTGGGTCTGCAAAAATCATCCAAAAGGCTTCTTCCATAGGTGATGGGATTTGAGTTTTCACATTCACAAAGAAAGTTTTAATTTTGTCCTTCCTCTTAAATTCTATATCTTAAGTTATTTTTCGTGGATTTTACTAAGAGGGCCGTCAGTTCTTTCCATAGAATGAATTGTCAAAGAAAACGTATGAAAGGCTCACCTAATAAGCCAAATAAAGACAATTCAACTGAAATTCCTTTCGAACAAGAAACGGATAGTTCAGGTAACGAAACTGAACAAAAACCCAAAGGAGATCGTAGTGTGGGTAAAAGGAAAAAGGGTCATTTTCGTCCCATTAATCCTTCTCAGCTCAAACCAGTTGTTACTCCTTCCATTAATAGTCAAGAATCAATGGACACTAGTCCTGTTGTTCCAAATGAATCTCAGATAAATGAAGAAATACAAAACGATCAAAACAAAAAAGGCAAAGCGCCACCTGCCATTATATAAATGATAAAAAATTTGATTGGAAAGAACTAAAAAGCGTTATTTGCAGAACATAAATTATCAGACAAATCTGATTACACAGGTTACATTCAAAAAGAAGGCTTTAAAATTAAAGTCTCTCATGTCAACATTCATAGAGAAATGACAAGTGTTCTGAACAAAAAGGAAATTAAATATCACTCCTTTCTCTTGCCTGATGAGAAGAATCATAAAGTGGTCTTCCGTCATCTTACAATGGACACAGATCCTGATGAAATCAAAGAAGAACTTTTAAGCAAAAATTACGAAGTTATAAGTGTCAGTCAACTCTCTCGTAGATTTAAAGGAGAAGTTAAAAAATTTCCACTTTTTCTTATCACTCTGAAGAAAAATGAAAAATCTAAAGAAATTTCTAAAGAAACCAAAATTTGTGGATTACATATCAAAGTCGAACCATATAAAGGACGCTCTGGCCCAGTCCAGTGCTTCCGATGTCAAGGATTTCACCATTCACAAGCTGCTTGCCACAATGACTTTAGATGTGTTAAATGTGGTGATAACCATGACTCAAGAACCTGTCAAAAAGACAAGAATGCACCTGCTAAATGTGCAAATTGTGGTCTAGACCACACAGCTTCATTTAAAGGTTGTGAAAAGTTTCCGAAGCAAGCTAAAAAAGAACAAATCAAATCATATGCTGATAGGTTTATTATCAATAAGTCTTTTGCTGAAGCCATCAAAACTAATAACAATCCTTCTCCAAATCTTATTGCAGAAGCAAAAAAGATATTTGATGACCTTAATACTCTAGTCACCTTCCTGAAAAACTCAGGAATACAACTCCTTGCGCAAAACATCCGTCAAAATGCCACTAATACAGTATCAGATGAAACTAATTCTGACCAGCATATTCAATAAGTCAGATTCGCTTAAACTTTGCTTATTGGAATGCTGCTGGCATTGTTAACAAAATTGATGAACTTTCGGACTTTTTTATAGAATATAACATAGATATTGGCATGATCTCTGAAACGCATGTTGTTCCTGCCGATAGACTGTATATTGCTAATTATCGCACCTACAGAGGTGATAGACTTTCACAAAGAAGAGGAGGAGCTGCAATTTTTGTTAAAAACTCTCTGCAATCCTGTCTTGTCTCGACAAACTCTGCTTCTGGATTCGAAAGTGTGACTGTTGCTGTTATACTCCCACAATTTGGTACCATCCATTTTACGGCTATTTATAATCCACCACGAAATCGACTTTCTGAAAATATGTTAAAAAACTTACTTCCTGAAGATCAGCAAGTTATTATTGCCGGAGACATGAATGCTAAGCACCTCGAATGGGGATGTCGTCGTTCTAACACCAATGGACGTATTATGCATAATTTTATCTGCAATCATCCTGTCGCATTACATGTACCTTCTGAAGCCACTTATCGTCCTGCCTCTCCAAATCTCTCGGACATCTTGGATATTATCCTTACAAATACTTCTATCCCTATTTCCTTGGAAGTCAAGGCAGAACTTACATCTGATCATGTACCTGTCATTGCTTCTCTTGGTGTTTCTAAAGAAGACCCTCCTATTACCAGAAATAATACTGACTGGATTACTTTTCACAATATCTTAATCAAACATCCTCCTATTTTCACTTCACTTTCTACCAAACAGGATATCGATCTTGCCATTCAAATCTTCACTGACAGTATACTGAAAGCTTTCAGAGATGCTACAGTTACCATTCAATTAACTAACAATAATATTCGACTTCCTCGCAGTATCAGAGACATTATCAAAGAAAGAAACCGATTGCTGAAGCTTTGGCACCGTAACTGGGACCCTGCCCTTAAAAGAGAAATCAATATTTTTAATAGAAGAATCAAGAAGCTTATCACTGATTTTAAAAAGGAAACAAGAGAAGATTTTATATCTAAACTTAATATTAATGATGGTTCTCTGTGGAAGTATCTTCAAAATCTTAAAAGAAGTAGTATTAATAATAGACCTATTCATACGGATACTAAAATTGCCTACTCACTTAAAGATAAAGTCGATATTTTCGCTGAATACCTGGAAAAGCAGTTTACTCCTAATATGGAGCCCATGAATCAGACCTTTAAAGATGTTCTCGGAAAACTATGTGTATTCCTGGCTTCATTCTTCTTCGGCTCATAACATCCCAAGGCTTACTTCTCCTATGGAAATTACTAATATTATTAAATATCTCAACATCAAAAAAGCTCCTGGAAGTGATCAAATTACAAATAAAATGCTTCGTA